ACCTCCGCCTCCTGGGCTCAGGCAATTCTCCTGCCTCAGCCTCCTGAGTAGCTGGGATTACAGGCACGTGCCACCATGCCCAGCTAACTTTTTGTAGTTTTAGTAGAGACGGGGTTTCACCACGTTGAACAGGATGGTCTTGATCTCTTGACCTTGTGATCCACCCGCCTCGGCCTCCCAAAGTGCTGGGTTTACAGCGATTTTTGTATTTTTAGTAGAGACAGGGTTTCTCCATGTTGGTCAGGCTGGTCTCAAACTCTCTACCCCAGGTGATCTGCCTGCCTCGGCCTCCCAAAGTGCTGGGATTACAGGGGTACGGCACTGCACCCGGCCTATTTTTTTGCCTTTTAACATAGATCCCTTCTGAACTGTGTGCCACAGCATCTTCATTCCTCTCCAGAGTATTTTCCTCTTGTGCATGCTCCGCAGTGATCAGCGGCTCAGCCTTCGTTATGGATGGCTGAGGGCGGGGCTGAGCCACCCCTGCCTCCTGGTGGATGGTGCTCCTGTGAGCGTTGTGGGCCACACCCTTCCACCCGGTCCCACCTGCTGACCAGCTGTTCTGGCTGCTCCCTCAACTATGCATTTGAAGGGAGGAGACATGGGGGAATGGTTAAAATCTATCAACGTTCATTCAGCCAAGAAATACCGAGTGCCTGCTCTGCTGGGCACAAGGACCCCAAGTGTCGGTAGTTTATGGTTGCTCCCCATGAAGCGTGTGCAGACTAGCAGGATTTAAGGTAAAAGAAAAAAGCCAGTCACATAATGAAGACCCCACCAGAATGTTTTACAGAATCAGCTAACTGTACTCATGTTTACGTTCCCAGTTAATCATGAATTTTAATTAGATTCTTAGCTTTCAATTGCAGAAGGCTTGCCACTCACAGTGTACAGCAATTCTAAGTGCTCATTAATAAAAATGAATTTTTTTTTTGAGACGGAGTCTCCAGTCTCTGTCGCCCAGGCTGGAGTGCAGTGACTCGACCTTGACTCACTGCAACCTCCGCCTTCTAGGCTCAAATGATTCTCCTGCCTCAGCTTCCTGAGTAGCTGGGAGTGGAGGCATGCTCCACCACGCCCAGCTAATTTTTGTATTTTTCGTGGAGATGGGCTTTCACCGTGTTGGTCAGGCTGCTCTCAAACTCCTGATCTCATTGTCTGCCCTGGGCTTCCCAAAGTGCTGGGATTACAGGCGTGAGCCACCACACCCGGCCAAAAATGATTTCTTGCTAAGTCATAACGAAAGCACTGTGAAATAGCCCAATTTTAAGACATGAAATTTCTTTTTCTTTTTCTTTTTTTTGAGACAGGGCCTTGCTCTGTTTCCTAGGCTGGAGTACAGAGGTCACTCTGCCTCCCAGGCTCAAGCAATCCTCCTGCCTCAGCCTCCCAAGTAGCTCAGACTATAGGCGCTGGCCACCACACCCACCTAATTTTTATACTTTTTGTAGAGACAGAGTTACACTTTGTTGCTC